GAGACTAAGGTGCACCTACCTGATCCTAGCCATAATAGTCACAATTACTTGCTATATATCGGAGAGTTGGACAATGACTAAGGATGACAAAATGATTAATGTCTTTAAGTTATGGTGCTGGAGAAGAGTATTGAACGTATCATGGACTTCCAAGAGAACTAACAGGTCAGTCCTGAAGAGAGTGAAACCAAGCTGCTCGTTCGAGGCAAAGATTTCGAAGCTCCGTCTCACATAAATTGGGCATGTTGCCAGGAGAAACGAGTCCTTGGATAAGAACATCATGCTTGGAAGGGTGGAGGGACAAGCGCAAGAGAGGAAGACCCTGAAGGAGATGGATCGACCTGAGGTGGGATAATGGGGTAGTTAATAGAAGTCAGCCACAGTGAGACTGTCTCAGGACAGGGCAGACTTCAGAGCTATTGTACATAGGGGTCACTATGGGTCTTAGGTGACTCGATGGCACATAACAAAAATAACAACTTGTTCAGAATTCCCCTAAATTAATATGATCATCTGAACAGCGCTGTATGGCCTGCTGCTGCCTGACTCATCCTCACCCATCTATAGCAGCCCGGACACAGACATTCTTCAATTCCTCAGGTTAATGGACTTGGCCCAGCCCCAGAGTTTCAGCACACACTAAGTTTCTACCTAGCTTTTTCCAAGACTGGCCCTTCCTTACGATTCAACCTTTCTGTATAAGTGTTACTTCCTTGGAGAATTCTTCCTTGCACACCCTATCTAAAAATTACCTAGGGGTCACTCTCTGCCACACCTCTGTTTTATTTTACCCATAGCATTTAGTACTGTTAAAAATTATCTTACTTTCTCCCTGGTTTGTTACCTGTCACCTGGCTAAGAAGTGATTGGAGAGATCTTTCTGACTAGTTCCTTGCTGAATCAGGCCCGGGACAGGGCTTGCCATAGCCAACTGCCCTGCAAACACTGGTTAATGAATACATGAATATCTGTGCAAATTGCTAATCATTGTGTCAATGTGGGTAGTCAGTGTGGGTGTGTGTGGCCCCAGCCTGCACACAGGAGTTCACCTGAACATCACCTCCCATCTTCTCTCTCTGCCATCACATGGGATGCTGTACTTGTCCTGAGAGCTTTCTACACAATGGCATTGATTGTGTAGCCCTGGTAGTATGGTGAGTTAGGCACTGAGCTGCTAACCAAAAGGTCCAGAATTACAATTCACCAGCCCTTGACAGGAGAAAGATTGTATTCTCACAGCCTTAGAAACCCCATGTGCAGTCATACTCTGTCTTATGGGACTGCTATATTCTTATTGTTATTATTGTTAGGTTCTGTCAAGTACAACTCATAGTGACCTATGAACAACAGGTCTGAACCCTGTCCTAGTCAGTGCCATCCCCATTATCTTTGACATACTTAAGTCCATTGCTGCAGTCACTGTCAATTGAGCTCATTGAGGGTCTTCTTCTCCAAGCATTATGTCTCTTTCCAATGAATAGCCTCTCCCAACAATATGCTCTAAGTATGTGAGATAAATCTTCATTATCTTTGTTGCCTCAAAGGGGCACTCTGGTTGAACTTTCTCCAAGACATTTCTTTGTTCTTTTGGCTGTCTATGGGATAGTCAGTTCTCTTCTCCAACACCACAACTCAAAAGAATCAATTCTTCCATCATCCTTATTCATTGCCCAGCTCTCAAATGCATAGCAAATGATTGAAAAGACCATGGCTTGAATTAGGCACCCCTTAGTCTTTAATCTAACATCATTGCTCCTCAGAACTTTGGAGATGTCCCCAACAACAGATTTTTCCCAGTGCAACACATCTTTTGATTTGTTGACTGCTGCTATTAATGGGGTTGATTGTGGACCCAAGTAAAATAAAATTGCCAGCAGTTTCTATCTTTTCTCCATTTATCATGATGCTAACTACTGGTCCAGTCTTCTTGATGTTGATAGCTAATCCATATGGAAGATCATAGTCTTTGATCTTCTGCAGCAAGTGTTTCAAGTCTTCCTCACCTTCAGTGAGCAAGATTGTGTCATCTGTATAATACAGATTGTTGAGGAGTCTTCCTCCAATTCTGATGCCACAGTCTTCATAATGTAGCTTGTCAAACCATTTACTTAGCATACAGATTTGAATAAGCATGGAGAAAGGATCCAACACTGATTCACGCTTTTCTTAATTTTAAACTATTCCCTTACTCTGGACAACAGCTTCTTGGTCTAGGTCTAGGCTTTGTAAAAACACAACAAGTGTTCTGAGGGGTCTCATTCTTCTCACTGTTAATCATAGTTTGTTATGATTCACATAGTCTAATGCTCTTATATAGTCCATAAAACCAGATAGACAGTCTTCTGGCAGTCTCTGCTTTCCACCAGGATCCATCTGTCATCAACAATGGCATCTTTGGTGCCATAGCCTCTTTTAAATCCTGCAGTTCTCTGTCAATGTTCTGTTCTAGCCATTTTTGGTTGATCTTCAGCAATATTTTGCTTGCATGTGGATATTAATGATATTGTTTGATAATTTCCACACTCTGTTGGATCACCTTTTTTCTGGGAACAGGAACCAATAAGGATCTCTTCCAGTCAATTGGTCAGGTAGCTACGTATCTCACAAATCTGCTGGCACAGGGCCACATCTGTTTTGTTTTGTTTTTTTTTTGTATGCAAACTAATAGAATTTGTTTTATTATTAAAGAACACAATGCTGTTGCTTCTGCTCAAGGTAAAATGGGGCAGGTTTGTGGGCAAAGCCAGCTGTGGAGTATCGTATCAGTGCCCCAAAGAGAGCTGACAGGGCCAGCCTTTAGAATTGTCCTGTGGCCTCACTCTGCGGGAGCTCAGGGTCAGGCCGGCCTGCTGCTTCCCTCACCAGAGGCCTCAGCCGGTGGGCAGTCCTTGTGGTTAGAATGCCACTACCCCCTCTGCACACAAGTTGTCCGCAAATAGGGCCACATCTGTTAGTTAAACATGTCAGTTGCTGTCCCATTTATTCCTTGTGCCTTATTTTTTGCCAATTCCTTCAGAGACGTTTAACCAGCTCCTTTCATTTCCATTGGCTCTTTATCCAGTGCTACTTCCTGAAATATTTCAGCGTTGACCAATTCTTGGTATGGTGACTGTATATTTCTTCCATCTTCTTTTTGTTGCTTCCTGGACTGTTCAAGATTTTGCCCATAGCATCTCTCACTACTGCAACTTGAAGCTTGAATTTGATTTTCAGTTCTTTCAGCTTGAGAAATGCCCAACAAGAGATTCCCTTTTTACTCTCTAATTGCAGCTTTTTGCACATTCCTTTTTTTTTTGTACATTTTTTTAGCAAAGTTATAATACTTTGCTTTGTCTTCTCCAGCTGCCCTTTGAAATCTTCTGTTTATCTCTCTGTCTTTGGCATCTTTCGCTCCCCTTTGTCTTGGCTTCTCAGTGCACTAGGGCAATTTTCAGAGTCTCTTCTGATATCCATTTTGGTCTTTCTCCTCTCTCTATGTAATTATCTTTTGCTTTCTTAATGTATGATGTCTTTGATGTCATCTCACAACTCTTCTGATCTTTGATCATTAATGTTCAGTGCCTGAAACCTATTCTTAAGAGTATTTTTAAAATCAGATGGAATAGACTCAAGGTCGTGTTTTGTTTCTTGTGGACTAGTTTTTACTTTCTTCAGCTTCAATTTGAATATGCACATGAGTAACTGTCTTTTCAATAGTCTGCACCTAGCCTGTTATTGACTGTTGACATTGAGCTTTTCCAAACAATTCTTTTCTTTTCTTTTTTGTTTTTTTTACTATTTTTTTGTTTGTGTACCATCAAATCGGATCTGACTGGTACAGGAGGAGATTGTCCCTCCTTCTCCAGCAGAACATCTGGTGGATTCAAACTGCTCACCTCTGGGACTGTAGTGCAGCTTCTTGCCATTAGGCCACCAGAGCTCACCTCCAAACAATTCTTTTCACAGATAGTCAATCTGATTTCAAGGGAGGTGCATCTGTATAGCTGCGTTTGTTTTTCTTAAAAAAAGGTATTTGCGGTGGATACAATCCTTCGTTTTTCAGCCTCGTTTCTGCCACCAATTCTACTTTCCGACTACCATTCCTTCTATTTGTTTCCAACATTTGCATTCCAGTCACCAATTACTATTAATGCATCTTGAATCAATTCCACAGTAGTTTATCTTACTCATTTCTCTCAATAGCTCTATGACGCGAGGTCTCTTCATTTGTTTATAAATACTTGAGCAAACTGAGGCTGGCTTTTCCTAAGGTACTCATTGGGATGTTGAGAAGTGAAATCACATCAAATCATGAAAGGGCCACCCTCCCTCATCACACCTAGCCTCCACTTTGGTGGCTGTCTTCTTCCCCTAAATTCTATAGGAGTTGGTGACCTAGCGGTAAGAGATTCGCCTGCAATTCCAAAGGCACGAAGTTTGAATCTACCAGTTGTCGCTGTGTGTGGGAAGGTTTGGGCAGTCTCCTCCCACGTGATTTACTGCCTTTGAAAACCTGATGGGGACCCAGCTATGGGTCGGTCCAAAGTTGATGGCACAAAACAGTAACAGGAGCTGGGTAGAGGCACTGCTCTCCATTTACTAAGAGAGTGACAAAGAGACAGACGCTTTGCCCCCAGTGCGTAAGGAATCGCGCTGCCAACCTAAAACTAGATTCGAACCCATAAACTCAGCGTCAGCTGGAGGGTCAGCTGTGAGTCGGTTCTGACTCTTTAGCAGAGTTGAGAAGTGTTCACTCGTTTATCTCGACACGCGGAAGCTGCAGACACCTGGGGCGCGCAATTACGGGGAAACTGCCAGGGGCGTCTTTCCTCGAGGGGAGGCGCGCGGGCCCCCTTTCCCGGCTGCGCCGAGCTCGAGGCCG